TTGCGGGGGGTGGGTGGATCTCTAAGACTGCTTTACACGAGACAAGAGAGCGTTTCGCTAGTTTCACTGCATGTGTTTTATGAAAACTAAAAGGAATGCAAGTGTTGGTGTCACTTGACGACGTTTTAGACATATTTAATGCTTATTATGTTTCTTGAAAACTGTGTATGTAATATTTTAGTATTAATTTAGTGTATGTCTGTAAAGCAGTCATTAACAGTGAACTTTAATAAAAAATCTGTAGGTACTATATTGAAATGAAAAAATTAAAAAAACCCGAATTCAAAAGAAAAACACTTAAAAGTAAAAAATAACTTATTGGTAGTTTTCAGTTACCATAGATACCTAATCAAATATTTTCAAAGTCGGTGTGCTCTGTGTATCTAGGTTTGTTACAAACATAAAAAAAGGAAATAGCAGAATTGAGAATCTTCTTCTTTTTGACCAAGTTGATTAAAAAGTATATTAAACAATTACTTTATTCTTCTTCTTTTTCATAATATATCAAATAAAATATTGTACATTTTGAGGACGAAAATCACAATTCTTTTTGTCATTGTTTTCTACACTGAAACTCAATTTTCAATGAAACGATTTTATTAGAATATTATCTCAACATACAAATTATAACAATTATATAAAGTTAAATTGTAGAACATCTATTTCTCCTCTAGATTATCTCACGACCCATATTTGTAAGTCCTATTTATAGAGCAAGACAGTTTTTCATCAGTCATTTCTATTCTACTTGCTAAGAAAATAGCATGAATTATTTTTCTGAGTAGTGTCAGGACAAGCTTTTATGTGAACAATATAAAACAGTTTACCTCAAACGAAAATCGAATACATGACTTTCTGTGCAACAGGTAGTGCCTAAAAGGATAATCATTGCTAAGAGTTTTGATCTAAATACTAGATACTATGGCTTTGTAAATTTAGTATTGTAAAACTAAGTAAAATATTCAAAATCTGCATTTCTGAGCAAATTTAATCAGTTTTCAAAAGACATGTGCAGTCACCCACATTTAGCCAGCGTAGTGGACTATGCCCTGATCCCCCCCATATTGAAAAGAGGCCTATGCCCACTAATTAAAAAGGGCTGAATTATGAACATTAATGTTCAAAAAGGATATAATAAAAACTAATCGTACGCATATGTTTTTAAACATATAATATATGTAAATTACTGATGGATACTAACCTGGACTATAGGCTACGGTTAGTGACAAAACTTTCCATGAGATGGCGCTGATTGTTTGCCAAAACATGAATATATACATTATATATATATATATATATATATATATTATATATATATATATATATATATAATGTATATATTCATATATATATATATATATATATATATATATAATAAGTCAAAGGTTTTTGTATCAAGCCGTAAAAAACCTACTAACCCCAGCAAAACGTGGGTAACTTACAATATACGAATATTATATTCATAAAGTAATTCAAAACACAACTGCTAGTGCAAACTGTACAATGTATATACACTCAGATAAAAATATTTCCAGTGCAAATTTTAGTTGGGGCATAGAATATGTAACATAAACTAGAGGGCCATTAATATTTTATATGAAACAAAGCAATATTGTTAAAATGTTATTCAATTACGAAATGTGCAAGTTGCTACTAATTCCTGTTGCATTGTTTCGCTACGTTTGTTGAATTTTTTACATGCACATGAGCTTGTTTAGTCTATTGTTCTACGAGCAGCTTAGCCCATTGGCAAATATTTTAAAGTAAGCAGCGACAATGCTAGAAATAAACAACGTATCAACTTTTTTCTGGTTTTAAAATTTATTTTTGTTCCCAACTTTACTCGTGCAAGTTGTTTTTTTATTTTTTGCGGAGAGTATCTAGATTTTAATAATTATTTAGGGACATTATGTTTGGGCTATTTTAAATTTGTTTTTAATGGTCCCAAATAATATTTTTATTTTAAGCTCTTTAAGCTTAGAAATAAGAAGATGGAAATACTAAAAAATAATATATTTTATTGTATTTTAAGTACGATTTTTTTAAATTGTGAAAAAAATTATATGTGTATGTTTCCTTTCCTTTCCTTTATGTGCGTTTTTATTTAGAATTAATTCAAAATTAATTCCCAAAATCTCTGTCACTTGTAAAAATTCTCTAAATTATATATATATATATATATATATATATATATATATATATATATATATATATATATATATATATATATATATATATATATAAACAACACACTGATACACAATATAATCACACGCGATAATATATACCATACATACATAATATATCGACAGCTAAATCGGCAAGTATACATCATATAATTGTATGAAGTATAATAAAAATCCCCTAAACATCCATCCTATTTAAATAATACGAATTTAATAAGACATAAATAACTATTATAAATAAAAACAGAATATTACTGCTCTATTCCATTATCTCTATGAAACCAATTTAAAGATAGACGAAAATCAATTCAAATGGTTTCAGGCATATCACTAAACGATATATTTTTATCTTATATAGTCCCTTTCTAATCCCCAATGCCTGTATAGGAGAATCAGCTCAAAATCGAATCTCAGTAAATACCAGTCGTAAAGGTTTAGAATTCCGCTAGGATGCTCTTACTATTGCACCACTGTAAATACAATATAAGGCTTGAGCTTGTATTATGAATACTTCTATTTTAAAGCTTTTTGAAGTTATAACATTTTTGAATGATGCCAACATACTGGCTTCTTTTGATGTTAGGAAAAAAATGACGAGAGTGATTTTTTTACTATACGACAGATTTAGAGTACAGTATGAAGTTAGTCGTTAAATCTCATTTTAGTGTGAAGTGATGTCTATATGGAAGATATTTATTCCGGTTTTCCTATAAACACAACACGCGTTTTATATCGATAAAGATAAATATTATTACAAGATTTTTTATTTATTTTACCTGTCCCGGTTTCTGTTTGTAATCAAAACTTGCGAGTTAAAGAACCACTTCTCGGTGTCCGATTTTAATCCAATATGGTGGACGTTACAAAATGGCGATTTATCATTTCCATAGTGACCCTTATGATATGAGCATCAAATGACAGGGCTTGATGAGTGAAACACAATAAGCAAAGTGACGTCATTGTAAATCCAATATGGCGGACTATGTTTTTTTATGCACCCCCATTATATGGATATCAAATGAAAAAGTTTGCTCAGAAGAATACGAATAAAATAAAAACTAAAAAAAAAGAAAAAAAGAAGGACAAGAAAAATACAAAAGTATTAATAAACAAATGAAATTAAAAAAAAAACTTTTATTTAAATGCTCTAAAATAAAACCAAAAAAGTATAACTTTTGACGTGCGTACATATTTACGCACACACTTTTTTTAAATTAAGTAAAAAATGAAACATGGTTATAATATACTGCAGTGCATACATAATACGTATAATATAGTAAATGATACGTGTCGTTTAATTTTGTACAATTGCTCAGGTCTGGTCGGTCGTAGTGTTATGTAAAATAGCTATAACCTTAATCAATAAATAGGCTATAAAATAAAAAAGGTTTTTTCAAATTAGATTAGTATTAGATCCAAAGATAAGTGTGCGATAGTGCGCGTTCAAACAAAAAAAAAACAAACAAACAAACAAACAAACAAACAAACAAACAAACAAACAAACAAACAAACAAACAAACAAACAAACAAGCAAGCAAGCAAACGAAGGAACGAACTGTTACGAGTGTCTGGATAAATATGGCGACTGGATTACTGATGATAGAGTGTGCTGAGTAGTTAGAAAAAAGCTATGTAAGCTCAAAGGGGTGCATAGCCTATGTATAACACCTCCCTGGGGTGGACTAAACTTCGGGGTTAAAATTTCGAAGTTTAGGAAAACAACGTATTTAATCTTATATGTTTCTTCTAATGTTAATCTGGATTTGGTGTTTGACTTTCGGGTGGTTCTACTGGGGTTGATTGGTAATCCGATATGGATTTTAACTTAGATTTTGTTTCCATGGTGAAAATGTCTAAATCAAAATTTTGAAGTTTTATACGAGGTTCATTACTCATCTCTTTTTTAATACTATTTAATTTAGTTAAGGATTTTTACATAATATTTATTTCTAGATTTCTTTGAGTGGGACATTCAATATATAGTTTATTGCTTACAGATTGTACATAAATCCATTTATTATTGGAAAGTGGTTTCCATATATCTATATTTCCATAAATAAACTCCGTTTGGCACTGCACTGGTAAAACACTAATAACTTTTGACATTAGCTCACTTTCACAACTGGGATTTGCACTAGTAGAAAATACGCTCATAATGTCACAGATGTAGTCGCGAGGGCTTATCGCTTTGCATTCTTTTAGTGAGTCAAGATTACAATATTCTAATTTATCTTTGGTCATTGCGATGTACTTACTGCTAGGAATTATAAAACTAAACGATTTTGGTTTAGCACTATTATGAGGAGTCGGCAATGCAATATTATGAAATAAATAATCATTAGAAATAATTGATAGATTTTTTAAAGTTAACGAGAGTTTGTCAATAGCTTCATTTTTGACAAAGTAAAGGTTGTTATTAAAATATTTTCCTTCATTAATGAACCCAGACTTTTCTCATTAATTTGGATACTTCGTATAGCGTTGTCATATCTGACAGCATCGTCTTCGTCTAGAGTCCCAAAGATTGTTTTTGAAAGTGTGCCTATACCACCTAGCCATGCCCCACGCTTAAATCTGTTATTATTTAATAAATGAGCAATTGAAGAATATTCGGAAACTATATCGTTATATCTAACTGTGAGTGGTTCTAAAACGTTATGACACTCTAAGTTACTTGCGGTTTCAATTTGGATTTGACTGCATAAAAAACGAACTGTACCTAATATAGAATTAATGTTTTGAATATGAGGTTCAATGTGTGAGATATCAAATGGGATAACTACGTCTAAGTAACCAATATTAATTTTAAGTTCACCAGTAGATACCAGAGCTCGAGTTGATTGACATATTCTTGGTGACCTTGGGCCAGTATGCTGTAAATAAAATATAGAGATGGAATTACTCCTAGAAATTTATATTCCTTGATTTTGTCATATTCTAAGAAGAAGAATGCACTTCCTGTACTTCTACATGACATGACGTCTATTTATAAGTAATGATAATGTATGATTACCATGTATTTTAACGACCTTGTATGGACCTTTCCATACAGGAGATAAGGCTTTGCGTAATCTTAGATGATTTTTTAACAGGACGTAATCTCCTACCTTATACTCAACAGGACGAGTGCGTTTATCATAATAAGTTTTAGAATTTGCTTTTGACTTATGAATGTATTCTAAAGCTTTATCGCGGGCGTGTTTCATACGATGTTGTAATCGTCTTACGTATTCGGGATAGGTAGTATCAGAAGAATTGTAAATTGAATTTGGAATGTGAGGTTTGTGACCAAATACTAATTCGTATGGAGTATAGTGCGTGGTTGAATGTACAGCGGTATTATATGCTAACATGGAAGTATATACATATTGAGGCCAATTATCTTGATTTTCGTTTACATAAGATTTAAGGTATTCTTTAAGGGTTGAATGTGATCTTTCTAAAGCACCTTGCGTTTGCGGATGGTAGGGTGATGACCAGAGTTATTTTAAACCTCGCATGTTTTCTTAAAAAGTTCAGCTGTGAAATTGGTGCCTTGATCAGTGAGTATATGCTTAGGGATTCCGAATAAGGATATGAAATGAGAAGACAGTCGCTTGCTTCTTCAGCCGTGTTACAGCGAATAGGATATGCTATCGAGTACTTTGTTAAATCGTCTTGCATAGTTAATATGTACTTAAGCTTCGCTGTGCCAGACTCAGGCAGAGGGCCCACAATATCAAGGGCTACTCATATCGGGATACGAGTGATTATCAAAATGATGCACTTTCGTGAATAAGAAAAGATAAGTTTTATTGTCTATTGTAAGAGGTAAAAATGTATGTAAACTTCTTTCTAATCTCAAAAACTCATCACGTTCGGGGTTTGGACAATTACTAATTACTTCTTGGACATAGGGCATAGATTCGTCCAAGTCCAATGAGGTTGGTATTATTACCAATTTCTGTATTCCTTTCAGTAAATTTTCATTATGTTCTGTAATGGATGTATCATATAATTTTGCAGGTGATTTTAAAAATTTGTTATAGGTTTCGTCGGATAATAATGTACTTTCAGGAACTGAATGAGGAGTTTCTGGACTTGGGTAAGTTGATACAGGTAAGGTTTCAGGATTTTGCCAACTAGTCGAAGGTTGCGGTTCTGGTTCTGTTTGAGAGTAAGGTTCATCAGGTATCGCTAAGGTATCTATGGGAACAGAAGGGGAATTTAGAGGGTTAGAATGAACAATTTCATCATCTGTAGAATTAGAATCCCTTCCTAGTAATTCATCGAGGATTTCTTGAGGAATTTCAGTCATTGGTGATTCGGGTTGAGGCTCAGCAACGGGATCAGTTGCATTAATAGGGTAAAGGTTAAGGTTATCATTGTTTATAGGATATACATGATTCACAGGATATCTAGAAAGAGCGTCTGCAGCAGAGTTCAACTTGCCCTTGCGGTATATGATTTCGTATTCGTATTCTTCTAGTTTTAACCTCCAGCGTTGAAGCTTACTACTGGGATCTTTATGATTAAATAGCCATTTTAGCGGTCTATGATCGGTTACAATTTGAAATTTGTGCCCATAAAGGTAAGGACGAAACGTTTTGCAACCATAGAGAATAGCTAACAACTCTTTTTCAGTTGTATTGTAATTGGATTCGCTCTTATTAAGTGTACGTGATGCAAAGGCTACGGGTTGATCTTTACCAATAGGTCCTTGAGATAATACAGCACCTACAGCATAATTTGAGGCATCACAAGTGAGGATGAAGGGCTTGGTGAAATCAGGATATATAAGCAACGGAGCAGTTGTTAATTTATGTTTCAATGTGTCAAAGGCTAGTTGTTGTTGATTTTCCCATTTAAAGGGTACATCCTTTTTCAGGAGAGAGGTAAGAGTTTTAGCTGTTTTGGAGAAGTCAGGAATGAAACGACGGTAATAGGAAACTAAGCCGAGGAAAGATTTTATATCTTTGGGGGATTTGGGAATTGGAAATTCGGTAACAGCTTTAATTTTACTGGGATTTGGTTTAACACCATGTTCAGTAATCACATGACCTAGATAACAGACTTCACGACGTAGAAATTCACACTTATCTGGCTGTAGTTTTAAGTTAAAATCTCGGATTCTTTGAAAAATTAATTTTAAATTTGTCATATGAGTTCGAAGGTCATATGCGTAGCAAACTATGTCATCCAAATATACAAAACATCGGATGCCTTGGAGCCCGGTTAAGGCAGAATTCATTAACCTCTGAAAGGTAGAGGGAGCATTTTTAAGCCCGAATGGCATTCTTAAAAATTGGAAATGGCCTTCTGGGACGTTAAAGGCTGTTTTAACCTTGTCATCTTCATTTAAAAGGATCTGGTGGAACCCGGATGCTAGATCTAATGTCGAGAAGTATTTACTATTTCCAAGCTGATCAAGTATCTCTGTGATCTGTGGTATGGGGTAAGTGTCACCGATAGTAACGTCGTTAAGTTTTCTATAATCGATCACGACTCGCCATTTTTGCGTGTTGGATGCATCAAGTTTTTTAGGAACAACCCATATGGGTGAAGACCAGGGTGAATCAGAGGGTTCAATAATGTTTTGTTCTAGCATCTTATTAATTTGATTACGAACTTCTGTTTTGTGAACTTCTGGGAATCGATAAGATTTAGTATGAATGGGTGTATCGGTATTAGTTTTGATTTCATGTTTCAGGGCACTTGTATAGGTAAGGTTTTCTCCGGGGAGATGGAAAATATCGGAGAATTCAGAACAAAGTTCTAGAAGAGCTTCTTTTTCTTCATCATTTAGGTGATCAACACGAACCTGTTTGAGCACTTCTCTGGTCCGTGTAAAACTACTGCTGTGATTTATATGATTTATGACTTCAGTTGATTGTTCCTTATATTCCGGGATATCGATTGGGATTAATTCAAGGCTAAGATCAGATTTTAAGGTTACAGGATTTTCAGAAGTATTTACTACGGATATATTTACTCTATTATTTTCTTTAACACGCACTAAGCAATTTGCAATCAATAGTGATTCAGAAATTTTTTGATCAAGGACTAATCCTTCTTTGATTTCAGGGTTTCTAACAGAGGATTCAATGACAGTTTCAGTTCTCGCGGGTATTAGATATGCAGGTTCATGAAAATACAGTTTTAAAGCTGATTTACCAAAATGTAGTGAATTATTAGTATAATCTATATTACAGCTATGGGCGTTAAGCATGTCAGAACCTATGATGCCGTCGTAAGGCAGATGAATTTTATCGATGACGTGAAATTTATGAAATATACTGGATTTAGGTAGACGTAATTTTAGCTGAAAATGTCCTCGAGTTTGAATGGATTCATCGGATGAATCAATACCTTTTAACTGAATTGTTTCTGTTACTAGTTGAGGATGTTTTTTAATACAGGAGTGTTTCAGTAGGCTTACAGAGGAACCTGAGTCTACGAGTAAGGATAATGGGATATCTGATACTGGAGATTCAACGAGAACATGAGGTAATAGCATTTTTGCAGGATTATTGGTAATTTCAAATACATTGGATTTAGGAAACTTCGAATGATTCACATTCTGTGAGGATATGGAAGATTTTGGAAGACCAACATCATTATGTTGCTTTATGGATACAGTGGGATTTGGCAGACCAACACCTTTGTGTTGTTTCACGGATACAGTGGATTTTGGCAGATCAACACCTTTGTGTTGTTGCACGGATACAGTGGACTTTGGCAGACCAACAGCTCTACGTTGCTGCACGGATACAGTGGATTTTGGCAGATCAACACCTCTGTGTTGCTGCACGGATACAGTGGATTTTGGCAGACCATCATGTAGCGATGGTTGCAATTGTTTTGCCATATTGGTCTTATAATTTCCATATGGCGAAGTTAATTTGGGTTTAGAAATTAAGCTTGCGGTGTCGGTTTTGATATTATTTGGCCCCGTACGACACCGGGACGAGACAGTTATTCGTTTTTTGATTGAGCATCTACAGTGTCATAGCCTTCTTCTTCATGTGAGTCATTTGGATATTCGTCATTAGGGGTGTTAGAAGCAAAATGGACACGTTGAGGTAACCTGGACTGATTTTGATCAAATTTACAACGATTATTGTTATATTCTCGTTTACGACATTGTTCCAGGGTATGTCCTGGTGATTTGCAATATCTGCAAATTGTTGCAGGGGAGTTATTTGTATTAGAAGGTCGATTGAAATAGAAATTTGACTTAGGCTTTATCTGATTAGAGTTCGATGTAAGTGGATGATTGCGAGAATTAAAAAGAGAAGTGAAATTTGGCCTTGAAGTATTAGATCGTCCTTGACGTGTGGTAGACGAACTTTGTTTAAATAGGAATTGTTGAATCTTTTCTTCTGAGATCGCGATGTTGACGGCTTCATTGAGTGTTTTTGGTGATTTACATCTGACTATATTTGATAAACGGGGTATCAAACCCATTTGAAAATGATGGAGGGCTAATTCTTCCATGGCTGCTGTACGTCCTATCATTTCCCTATTTTTATGGCCATGTGAAATAGAAATTTCTGTGAGCAGTTGAGATAAACATGTTTCAATTCTAAGAGCATACTGGCTCACAGGTTCGTTAATTTGTTGTTTACATTCTTGTAGGTCTGTCAGTAAGTGGGTGTAATGTTTCCTTTCGCTAAATTGTGTTTTTAAGAACTCTTTAAGCTGCGGCCAATTGGTAAACTCTTTTACAGAGCACGCGGTTTGTGCCTTGCCTTGTAATTGGCACAATATATATTTAAATAAAATATCCTTTTGTGGTTCTGTGGCTAGGTCGTAGGCATTATTACAGTTGACTAAAAATGAGTTAAGTGATTCCCTACAACCATCATATGGCTTTATAAATTTAAGTAGAGTGGATAAATCTAACTCAATTTTATTCGCCACTGCTAATTTCTTTTTTGAAATTGATCTAGTAGTAGGTCCAGAAGGAGGAGGACAAAGGCCATCGTCCTCTGTGTCAGTGACGGCAATTTCTGGTCTTTCGAATTTTGGACTTTGGGCTCTACTCTCAGACATTTTAAAGATAAAATATTTTTTTAGGCAGATTATACAATTATAAATTTAAAATAAAATTAAATGTTCACAATAGAAAATTAAATCAAAATAAAACAGTAATTAAAAGTTTAATATTCGCAATGACCAAATGCAAAACATCACTTACTTGAATACAGACAAAGCGATAACGACGGGTAACATTCCTTCGAAGGTATGGCGAGACGTAGATAACCGTTGCGGATTGAATTTCACTTATGATACTCGAAGCTCCTTGTGGATCGTTGGCTGTATTGATCAGCTTTCAACGTAATCGTTGGGTGGTCGTGTCTGGTCACAACACAGGGCTATATGTGACAGTGGATATGATCTGATGGCGAAGAAGGACTCTGCCTAGAGCATGAGCAGAATGCAGCAGTGAAGTTTTGAAGACACTGTATGGGCCGTGGTTAGGTCTAGGGTGCACTAACACTTATACACTTTGTACTTTTATTTTTCTTTATTTCACATATTATTATTTTATGTTTTTGCACAAAGATATTAACACCTTTACACACGCGTCGAATTCGCGTAAACTAGGAGACGGTACCGGGGACTTTTAAAATCCCACCGCTGCCACCAAAAATGTTACGAGTGTCTGGATAAATATGTTTTAAAAAAAAGGAAATTGAAATAAAAAATAAAATTATAATTTGTATGGAAAGAGACAGCCGACTGGCGTGGATGTAGGATGGATGGAGACTGAATGGATTGACGGGCGACTGGATTACTGATGATAGAGTGTGCTGAGTAGTTAGAAAAAAGCTATGTAAGCTCAAAGGGGTGCATAGCCTATGTATAACAGAACGAACGAACAAACAAACACGGACGGACGGACGGACGGACCGACGGATTGACGGATGTCAACAATAGTACAACTGAGATAGTATTAAAATCTTATTTCTGATAAATTAGTAGACTAATCAACAATTATATAAAGCTAAAAATGTATATTATATTTAATGCGCTAACTTCTGGCTAGTAAATTACGAATCTTATTTTAAAATTTGTTTTTTGAATTTTTCGCCAATATACTTGTTGCATCACAGTACAAACTTTTCTGTTTCATTTTCCTTCGAACGCTTATAATTCAATTTGAAATATTAAAGTGCGATCAAAAGACATTCTTTTAGAAAATAGACTGAAGCACAAAATGGTCAAAAAAGTTGATTGGAAAAACCATGACGTGTATGGAGAAAGTTTATTTAAAGGCTTATGTAGCTTTAAATCTAGTATAGTAAAATAAGT